GATTAGAGTTACCCAAGATATTTAATGTTATTTGTGGCTATTGTGAAGGCTGATGTTTCCCTGATTTCTTTCTTGGCCCTTTATCATTTGTATATAGGAGGGCTACTGATTTGTTTGAGTTAATGTTGTATCCTGTCACATTACTGAATGTGTTTATCAGCTGTAGGAGTTTCTGGTAGAATTTTTTGACTCTCTCATGTATACTATCCTATCATCAGCATACAGTGAAAGTTTGACTTCTCCCTTTCCAATTTGTATTCCCTTTGAATTTTTCTCCATTTAATTTGATGTTAGGTATTGGCTTGCTGTATATTGCTTTATTATGTTTAGGAATGTTCCTTTTATCCCTGATCTCTCAAAAACCTTTATCATGAAGGGGTGTTGGATTTTGTCAAAGGCCTTTTCAGCATCTAATGCAATGATCATGTGTTTTTTTCTTTCAGTTTATTTATGTGGTGAATTACATTGATGGATTTTCATACGTTGAACCATTCCTATATTTCTGGGATGAAGCCTACTTGATCATGGTGGATGATTTTTTCATGTGTTCTTGGATTTGATTTGGCAGTATTTTATTGAGTATTTTTGCATTAGTATTCATGAGGGAGATTGGTCTGTAGTTCTCTTTCTTAGTTGTATCTTTGTGTGGTATCAGCATAACTGTGGTCTTATAAAAGAGTTTGGTAATCTTTCTTCTGTTTCTATTGTGTGGAACAATTTGAAGAGTATCGTTATTAGCTCTTCTGTGAAATTCAGGCAGAATTCTGCACTGAAACCATGTGGTCCTGTTTTATTTCTGGTGGAGAGACTTTTGATGACTCTTTCTATTATTTTAGGGGTTATAGGTCTATTTAATTTGTTTATCAGTTTTGATTTAATTTTGATATATGGTACTCATCCAGGAAATTGTCCATTTCCTTTAAATTTTCCAATTTAGTGGAGTTTTGAAGTATGACCTGATGATTCTCTGGATTTCCTCAGTGTCTATTGTTATGTCCCCTTTTCATTTCTGATTTTGTTAATTTGGGTATTCTCTGTCTGACTTTTGGTTTGTTTATCTTGTTGACTTTTTCAAAGAACTAACTCTTTGTTTCATTGATTCTTTGTATTGTTCTCTTTGCTTCTATTTTATTGATTTCAGCCCTCAATTTGATTATTTCCAGCCATCTACTCCTCCTGGGTGAGTTTGCTTCTTTTTATTCTAGAGCTTTCACTTGTTCTGTTAGTTCACTGGTGTGGAATTTTTCCAGATTCTTTATGTAGGCATTTAGTGCTATGAACTTTTCTCTTAGCACTGCTTTCATTGCCTCATGAGTTTGGGTATATTGTGCAGTCATTTTCATTGAATTTTAGGAAGCCTTTAATTTCTTTTTTTTTTTTAATTTCTTCCTTGACACATTGGTGATTCAGTTGAGTATTGTTCAATTTTCATGAGTTTGTGGGTTTTCTGCAGTTAGTGTTACTATTGAATTCTAACTTTAAACCATGATGATCTGATAAGATACAGGGGGTTATTCCAGTTTTTAAATGTCTGTTGAGATTTATTTTGTTGGTGAGTATGTGGTCAATTTTAGAGAAGGTTCCATGAGATGATGAGAAGAAGGTATATTCTTTTGTGTTTGGGAGGAATATTCTATATTTCTGTTAAGCCCATTTGAGTCAAAACATCTGTTAGTTCATCTATTTCTCTGTTAGGTTTCTGTCTGGCAGACCTGTCCATTAGTGAGAGTGGGATGTTGAAGTCTCCCACTATTAGTGTTTCGGGCTTCACGTGTGATTTAAGCTTTAGTAATGTTTCTTTTACAAATGTGGGTGCCCTTGTATTTGGAGCACATATGCTCAGAATTGAGACTTCATCTTGATGGATTTTTCTTGTGACAAATATGAAATGTTCTTCTTCATCTCTTTTGGTTACTTTTAGTTGGAAGTCTATTTTGTCAGATATTAGGATAGCTATCCCTGCTTGTTTCTTAGGTCCATTTGATTGGAAAAAATCTTTTCCCAATCCTTTTTTTTCCAGACAGGATTTCTCTGTATCGTTTTGGAGCCTGTCCTGGAACTCGCTCTGTAGACCAGGCTGGTCTCGAACTCACAGAGATCCGCCTGTCTCTGCCTCCTGAGTGCTGGGATTAAAGGCGTGCACCACTAATGCCTGGCTCCTAATCCTTTACTTTAAGGTAATGCCTGTGTTTGTAGTTGAGGTGTGTTTCTTGTATGCAGCAGAAGGCTGGATTCTGCTTTTGTATCCATTCTGTTAGCCTGTGTCTTTTTATCGGTGAATTGAGACTATTGATATTAAGGGATATTAATGACCAGTGTTTGCTAGTTCCAGTTATTTTGTTGTTGTGCATACATTTCCATGCTTTGCAATTTGCTGTTATGGGATTATCTTTTGCCTGTGTTTTTGTGGGTGTAACTAATTTCCTTGGGTTGGAGTTTTCCTTCTAGTTTATTGATAGGTATTGTTTAAATATTGTTTTGACATGGAATATTTTGTTTTCTCCGTCTATGGTGATGGAAAGCTTTGCTGGGTATAATAGTCTGGGTTGGCATCCATGGTCCCTTAGTGTCCCTTAGTGTCTGCATAACATCTGTACAGGACCTTCTGGCTTTCATTGTTTCCATTGAGAAGTCAGGTGTGATTCTGATAGGTTTGCCTTTATATGTTACTTAGCCTTTTCCCGTTGTGGCTCTTAATATTCTTTCTTTCTTCTGTATGTTTAGTGTTTTATTATTATTTGGCGAGAGGAATTTTTTTTCTTTTTTGGTCCAGCGTATTTGGTGTTCTGTAATCTTCTTGTACTTTCATAGGTATGCTCTTCTTTAGATTGGAAAAGTTTTCTTCCATGATTTTGTTGAATATGTTTTCTGTGTCTTTGAGCTGGAATTCCTCTCCTTCTACTATCCCTGTTATTCTTAGGTCCAGTCTTCTCATGGTGTCCCAGATTTCCTGAATATTTTGTGTTAGGAATTTGTTGGATTTAACATTTCCTTTGTCTGATGAATCTATTACCTCTATTGTATCTTCAGTGCCTGAGATTATCTTTTTCCTCTCCTGTATTCTGTTGTTTACACCTGCATCTGTGGTTCCTGTTCATTTACCCAGATTTTCCGTTTCCAGGATTTCCTCAGTTTGTGTTTTCTTTATTGCCTCTATTTCATTTTTTAAGTCTTGAACTGTTTGTTGCCTTTGCCTGTTTGATTGCCTTTTCTTGGTTTTCTTTTAGGGATTTGTTGATTTCTTGTTTTTTGTTTGTCTTTCCCTCCGTTTCTTTAAGGGAGTTTTTCATTTCCTCTTTAGGTGCTTCTATTATCTTCATAAAGTTGTTTTAAGGCTATTTTCTTCTGCTTCCACTGGGTTGGGATGTTCGGGTCTTGCTGTTGTAGAGTCCCTAGTTTCTGGAGGTGCCATATGTCTCTTCATGTTGTTGAATGTGTTCTTGTCTTCTTGTCTATCCATCTCTTCTTCTGATCAGCACAGGTGCAGCCTGTGCTTCAGGGCATCCCTCTTTCTCCAGTTGGTGTAGTTGGGGGATGCCACTCTGTTGATTGCTCCTCCAGGAGCAGGCAGGGCTGAGTCACTGATGGCTGCTCCTCTAGGTGCAGGTGGTTCTGATGCTCCAGAGGTCACTAACGCTGCTGGGTGTCACATACAGAGAATGGCACTGGAGGCTGGATGGGACACAGGTGCTCTTTCCCAGAGGAGCTTCTTACTACTGTTTCTGGAAGCCACCGCTGTCAATGCTTCAGCATTGCCCAGTTCATGCACTGTCTGCTCCCTGGTTGTTTGTGACCTGCCTGACCCTTCCTCTCCCCAGTTGGTAGGGAAGAAGGAATTTCAAATGTAGAAAGGTCACATTGAAGGAGGAACAGAGTGGCTCTTTACATGGATTTTAATTCCTTAAAAAATGCTTTTCCCTTGGGTCTGGAGAGATGGACCAGCTGTCAAGAGCACTGGCTGATCTTGAACCCTCATTAGGTTCCTGACATCTTCATGGTGTCTCACAACTGTATGTAGTCCCAGGGCATCTGAGATCCTTTTCTGGCCTCTGTGGACACTGCACACAGGTGGTGCAGAGACAAACATGCAGGAACAGCATCCACACACATGAAATAAAAGTAAAGGAGAAAGAATTGTTCTTCTGTGCCATTAGCAGTGCAATATTGTGTGTTTTTATGGAGGGACACATGTATATTTGACTTATCAAATACAAACATACACACTTAGAAATAAGAGTGCCTTTGCTAAGATGGCTGTTGATCGGTTAACACATCTGATGGCAGTAACATATAGTGTAAATAATATAAGCACAGCTTATATTAAAGGATTGAAGAGTGAGATAGCACATTTGTAGCCTGGATTCAATATATAGCATCTAAATACACACACACACACACACACACACACACACACACACACACACACACACACACACACACGCAGAAACTGCAATTAAGATGTTCAAGTTTGTTCTAGTTTTGTTTTTGTTGTTGTGATAAAATACTCTGGTAAAAAGTAGTTTAGGGGAGAAAGGGGTTTGTTTCAGTCTATATATTCAGGTTATGGTCTATCATGACAGGGAAGTCACAGAACATGCCCTTGAGAGAATGGGTCATCATATCATGTCCACACTCAGTCATATCATGTCCACGGGAGAGAGAAGTCATTGCACACATGCTTGCTTATTTGTGCTCAGCTTGACTTCTGTATAGTTCAGGACCTCCTACCTAGGGAATGGTGCCACCCATGGTGGGCTGGATCTTCCCACATCAATGAACATTAGTAATCAAGACAGCCCCACCCACGTGTCTACAGGCTAACCCAATATAGACAATTCCTCATTGTGATTCTACATTATGTCAAGTTGACAAAGCGCCATCACACTGATTGAGTGGAACTGTATTGTAACTTTCTGAGCTATTAATGTTCGGTGTCACAAAAAGTGTTAAAATAACATGAGTTAAAACAAGATGAAGACTCTCCCTGTGTGTCTTCACAGCTATTGTTCCTGACATTGACGAGATTGCAGCCCGGGCAGAAACGATGTTTGCTGGAAGGTACTGTAATGAATCTTTTTATCTTACATGCGAGATACCTAGAATTTTGTTTAGTTTGTTATCATTCATCTTTTTGTGCCTGGTTAGATACCCCAGTTGCTGCTAACATAATTTCTGCCAGAAATGAAGGTTGGAATTTACTCTAGACACCTTAAACGATGGGAGAAAAGAGATCCATGTATTTAACATCCTGGAATTCTTAGCTTTTCTTTCCTTAGATGATGGCAGCACACAGATGCCCTCTAGCTCCCTTGACAGAAACTTGTTGTATCTTGTAACACATTACGTCTCAGAGTCTTAGATCTCTGTGGCAAGAAAGTAGCATCTTTTGATGTTATCCTTAACTTTATGCATGAGAAACCAGGCATTTCTTGCCATTTAGAAGTGTCCACGATGGAAGAAAATAAGGTGTCTGATGTGACCACTCTCCTTTGCTTGCCACGTCCTGGCATGTATTGTTGTCAAGTTTATTTTTCAGAAATGAAACAATAGCAGTCAAAATGAGAAAGTAAATGTCAGCTAGAATTACTGAGATTCATTTTTATTACAGACCTGAGGTAACCTGAGGAGATAGAACTGTCCACACTGAACTCCCTACTGCCTCTTTTTTCTCAGAGAGGGGAAAAAGGGGGCTGGAGAGATGGCTCAGAGTTTAAGAAAGGGGGAAAGGATTAATAATTAACATAACTGTAAGATCCACGGTTTCATAGTAGCCTGGGCTACGTAGTGAGAATCTGTGTAGGGGAGGAGGAGGCGGGAGGAGGGAGGAGGGAAGGACAGAGCGCCCAGATTTATTGTTTAGTGAACATTTGGTATAGCTTTATTTTTCTACTGTTATGATTTCCTATTGAAGTATTTTATTATTCTAGGGAAGAAAGATAAATCCAGCCTATGATTTTATCTTAAGACACAGACATGAACTGCTTAATGTCACTTTGGCCAAAGATGGCTCCAGGTGATAGATCGATGAGGATAGAATTGTGTTCTATAACATGGCAAGAACTGAAAAATTCCCAGAGACAAGTGACTTCATAGCCATCGGTTGTTAGATTGCAGTGTGTTAGTGTCTGTGGAGGGGCTTGAGGAAAGCACCAGACAGCCAACTGTGTCAGTGTGTGGCGTGTGCAGCCACACGCAGCATGCAGTACTTGAGAGTGACTGTTGCTGGCTTATGCATTGAATATATTTTTAACCATTATTTTGGTGTGTCTGTATGTGCAGGCACACGTGTGTGCATGTGTCAGAGTGTGTGTGCATGTGTGAGAGTGTATGTATGCATGTAACTACGTGTGCATGCAGTGTGTGAGTGTGTGTGCATGTGTGAGTGTGTGCCTGTGTGTATGTGTGCATGTGTGTGTGTGTGAGACAGTGTATGCATGCATGTATGCATGTGTGAGAGTGTGTATATGTGTGCATGCACGTGTGAGAGTGTTTGTGTTCATGTGTTCATGTGTGTGCATATGTGAGAGTGTGTGTTCATGTGTGAATGTTCATGTGTGAGAGTGTGTGTGCATGTGTGAGAGTGTATGTATGCGTGTAACTACATGTGCATGCAGTGTATGAGTGTGTGTGCATGTGTGTGTGTGCCTGTGTGTTTGTGTGCATGTAAGTATGTGTGCATGTGTGTGTGAGTGTGTGAGACAGTGTATTCATGCATGTGTGCAAGTGTGAGAATGTGTGCACATGTGTGAGTGTGTGCATGTGTGCATGTAAGTACGTGTGCATGCGTGTGTGAGTGTGTGTATTGTGAGTGTGTGTATGTGTGCATGTAAGTACGTGTGCATGCGTGTGTGTGTGAGTGTGTAAGTGTGAGTGTGTGCATGTAAGTATGTGTGCATGCATGTGTGTGTGAGAGTGTGAATGTGAGTGTGTGTGCATGTAAGTATGTGTGCATGTGTGTGTGAGTGTGTGTATTGTGAGTGTGTGTGTTCATGTAAGTACGTGTGCATGTGTGTGTGTGTGAGTGTGTGTGAGTGTGTGAATGTGTGTGTGCATGTAAGTACGTGTGCATGCGTGTGTGTGTGAGTGTGTGTATTGTGGGGGTGTGTGTGCATGTAAGTACGTGTGCATGCGTGTGTGTGTGAGTGTGTGTATTGTGGGGGTGTGTGTGCATGTAAGTACGTGTGCATGCGTGTGTGTGTGTGTGTGTGTGAGTGTGTGTATTGTGAGTGAGTGTGTGTGCATGTAAGTACGTGTGCATGCGTTTGTGTGTGAGTGTGTGTATGTGTGAGTGTGTGTGCATGTAAGTACGTGTGCATGCGTGTGTGAACGTGTGATCAGCAGCATCTCGTGCCCCTTGTCTCCCAATTGCATCATTTCTCATGTGCTTTGTTTAACCTTGTGTTGCTTTGTTCATCGAGATCCTAGATTCCATACATTATAATCTGTCTGTCATGTATGTATCAATCACCTACTTACATGTCTAAACATACCTGCCATTTAACATCTACCTATATATATATATACATATATACATCTGCCTATCATCTATGTATATCCATGTATCTTGTCTATCAATCACCTGTCTGTGAGTGTCTGCATCGATGGGTCTGCCATGCGCCGTATACCTGTCTCTGCGCGCATCGGTTTTGCGTGTCGGTCATTTACATGTGCATCCATCTGCTGCCTGTGTTCTGTGTATCTGTCATCTGCCATCCGTCTCTTTCATATCCATCTTCCCCCACCCATGTAACCCATACATGCATTAACACAGGTGTGTGATAGGCTCTGTAGGCTTGCGTCATGCCCTCTGTAGTGCTTGCCCAACCACAGTCATCTAAGGGTTACATCCCAGAGCACAGCCCGGCAGCAGCAGCACATGCTCCAGAGAGATCTTTCACCCCAGGGGACCCTGTCCCCAGTCTCACTGTGCCACCAAGCACACAGAGCCCCGTGGAGATGGCTGTGTGTTTGTCACTGTCCCTCACCGCTTGCCGTGTGGTGGTCTCTTGGGCTCCAGGCTGTTGGTCGATATTATTGATAAAAGCTTTCGCAGAAGGCGGCTCTTCTAGAAGAGTGGCAGGGCAAGGAGGACAAAGAGGGATAGTGGGAAAATTTGAACTAGTAATGAACTGTTATGAAAATGTCATAATGAAACCCATTATTTTATATGCTAGGTAACAATGAATCGAAAATGATGTAGGGATCACCCAGTGCTTGTTTTTCCTGTTCTCTGGTGATTAACTCTTGAGACTGACTGAGGAACCTTCTTTGTTATTGTTCCCTCATCAATTGTATAAGATTAAGAAGTAACAATGTCTCTTCTTTTTTGGGAAAATGAGGGTTTAAGTTTAAAAACACAGGTATAACTTCAGTGAATTTAATATAGATATCATGCGATGTGTTATTTTAGAGTTTCTTTTGGTTTTACAGGAAGGAAAAAACTCCAGTTCAGCTTGATGATGAAGGAGGCAGGACGTTCTTGCGGGTCCTCATCCACCTGATCATGCATGACTACCCCCCGTTGCTCTCGGGGGCCTTGCAGCTCTTATTCAAGCACTTCAGCCAGAGAGCAGAAGTGCTGCAGGCCTTTAAACAGGTGAGCTGGGGCTGGGTGCCTGCTTGCCGAGCTCGCTCGGGCTCTGGGTTCAGTTCTCAGCTCTGTACCCAAGAAAACGAACACCCGAGATGGAGGGCCCTGGAAAAGGAACACCTGAGAATTCCTGGAGTTCTGAAGGTGTTTGTAGCCCGTCTGATGGTAGCTGCAGATGAGGCTGTGTTCCTTGGATCCTCTCTTGCTCTGTAGTACAGGCTGGCTCAGAATTCAGTTCATTGCTCGGATTGACCTTGAACTCTTGGCAATCCCCCTGCCTCTGCCCCTGGAGTGCTGGAATTGCAGGCGTGCACTGCAATACCTGGCTTGTTACTTTGTGTTCTGAAAGATAGATGTGGTCCTGTCTGTGTGCCTAGACAGGAGCTGCTTCAGAATGAGTCTCCCACAGGTGATCTTCAGTCAGTATCTTTATAAAAATGACAGTCTCTAGAATTTAGGAAGTGCTGCTGGAACAATAACCTATTAGAAATTTTGTTGCTGCTGTGGTTATTTTGACTACAGAATTTAATGATGCACCTGGCAAGCCATAGCTTCAAAATAAATATTTTGTGATTAAAAATGGAGAACATCCAAAGAAAGGAACTTTAATGGGGGATCCATCTTGTCCCCTGTGATGGGATCTAGTCTATCTTCTGTGATGGGATCTAGTCTGTTTTCTCTGATGGATCCATCCTGTGCCCTGTGATGGGGTCCATCCTGTCCCCTGTGATGGGATCTGGCCTGTCTTCTGTGATGGGATCTGGCCTGTCTTCTGTGATGGGATCTGGTTTGTCTTCTGTGATGGGATCTGGTCTGTCTTCTGTAATGGGATCTGGTTTGTCTTCTGTTATGGGATCTGGCCTGTCTTCTGTGATGGGATCTGGGCTGTCTTCTGTGATGGGATCTGGGCTGTCTTCTGTGATGGGATCTAGTCTGTTTTCTCTGATGGGATCCATCCTGTGCCCTGTGATGGGGTCCATCCTGTCCCCTGTGATGGGATCTGGGCTGTCTTCTGTGATGGGATCTGGGCTGTCTTCTGTGATGGGATCTGGGCTGTCTTCTGTGATGGGATCTGGGCTGTCTTCTGTGATGGGATCTGGGCTGTCTTCTGTGATGGGATCTGTTCTGTCTTCCGTGATGTTTGGATTGCACATTAATCTCACAGTGATTACTTGCAAGTATGGGTATCTCACTGATGTTTTGTGTTTAGTGGAGTGTGAACCTGTATTAGCAGTTTTGAAGATGCTAGCAGATATGAAGATATAGATGCATATGTTTTACATGTATGTGCCATGTAGTGTGTATAAACTATAAATTGTATGGTGGTCTCAAGCTCTGAAACTGCTGTTTATACTAGCAAACGTATATTGTAACCATTAATATTTTCTTCCATGGGTTTTTATACTTTGACTTTTCAAACAGATACAAGTCTAGAGAAACCTCAGAAAAATGAACTTGAACAATGAAATTAGAGTTAGATTATCTTGTAAAAGAAGATTTGTTTACTCTTGATTTATTTATATGGGTATTTGCACTCATGTAAGTATATGTACCTTATGTGTTCAGTACCCATGGTGGCCAGCAGAGGGTGTCGGGCCTCCGGGAACTGGAGTTGCAGGAGGTTGCGAGCACCATGTGTGTTTTGGGAACTGAGTTTGGGTCCTCTGTAAATGCTGGAGGTGCTCTTAATCCCTGGGCCGTTTCTCCAACCCCCACAACTTTATGTTAAATTACTTGTCAGCATTTTGGAAGCTTTTTGAGAGCACACATCTAAGAATTCCTTTTCGCGTGTGAGCATATTGGTTAGAGTTCGTGAATACTTGCAGGAAGATTTTCAGACGGAATACACATAAGTATGCGTAAGTGTTCGTAAGTGTTGAATTTCATCTAGAGAGTGGCTGAAGATGGGATTTCGGGTGTGCAGGAGCCAGGGACACAGAAGGCTGGGAGAGCGCTCTAAGGGTGAAACTCTCGTGTCCTCAGGTGCAGCTGCTGGTGTCGAACCAGGATGTGGATAACTACAAGCAAATCAAGGCAGATCTCGACCAGCTCAGGCTGACGGTGGAAAAATCTGAGTTGTGGGTTGAGAAGAGCAGCAGCTATGAGAATGGAGAGATTGGCGAAGGTCAGGCCAAAGGAGGCGAAGAGACAAATGAGGTTTGTTTCCAAGGTCACTTTCAGGAAGAAAATTACTTATTTCTGATTGAGCGCTTAATTGAAATGTGTGTCTGTGCACCGCGCCTGTAGTACCCATACAGGCCAGAGGGGGCACCATACCCCCCGAACGGGGGATACAGAGCGTTATGAGCCGTTGTATGGGTGTTGGGAACCAAACGAGGGCCCTGTGGAAGAGCAGCTGCTCTCTTACCTGTGTTTAACGGGGGGGGGGGGGTCCAGCCCCCACTTTTTTTTTTAAATAAAAGTGTTACTGGTAATGCTTTTATGAAAGCCAGTTACCACCGAAGTCCTAATTGGTGGTTTCTGGAAAGAAGCTTATACTCCTCAGGAGCATCAGTGGTGTGGAGAGGCTCACTCAGCACAGGTCTGGGAGTATTGCTTCGGGTTGTAGATTGGCAGCACAGAATGTGGCAATTAAATATTAACATTAAACATTAGAAATGCCGAGGAGTTACGACGAGGTGGAGTTGAAGTGGTGGCATCCCACCTCAGGTCTCAGGATGGTGGCTTATCTGTAATTCTTCACTTTACCATTTTAGCATTAGTGGAATATAGATTTTCTAGTCCATACAAATTTGTTTTATGATCAGTTAGGGCCATGGGGTGGTGACACGATAAATAAAAGACCCACCGACAGATACTGGGGTTCAAACATCAAGCTGACGGTCAGAAAAGCAAAGTAGCTGGCCACTATCTCTCACCTCAAGCTCAGGCTAAAAGGGCTGATCCATGCACAAGCTCTTCACCAAGCCTCAAACTGCTGCCTTTCCTCAGCGTGGCTGGAGAATACTGAGACTTCAATGTCTTCTTGTCCCTCTTGGTACTGAGCCTTCCTATCTTCAGTGTGGCTGGAGAATCAATGCTTCCTATCCCCAATGTGAATGCCTGATCTGAGACCCTGCTCCTGGTTTATATACCTCCCTAGTGCTGGGATTAAACGCATGTGATCCCAGGTGCTGAGATCGTCTTTGTGTGAGCTGTTTCTCTTTAGGACTGGATCACTCTTGTGTAGGTCTGGGTGGCCTTGGAATCACAGAGATCTGTCTACCTCTTAATCCTGAGTCCTAGGATTAAAGGTGTGTGCCACCACCTCCTAGATTCTGGCTACTAGTATTAAAGCTGTGTGTCACCGCTGCCTGATCTCTATAGCTTGAGGCTGACTTTGCTTTTCTGAATTCTCAGTCAAGCTTTAATAAATCATGAATAATAGATCACTACAGGGTGGGGCACAGATTCTTCCATAATTCATTTCTGAAGTAAGGAATAAGTTGACATTTCTTTAGTTCTTCCCTTGTGCACACTGAAGAGCAAATACTTTTGTGTGTGGAATCTCCTTTTAAATGTCACAAAAAAACTTTGGGGATGGCTGTAGGGCTGCCTTTTTAAGTTTAATAAACTAAGGCTTGGAGAAGCCCAGGGCTCTCTCAGGCCTTGAATCGGTGACTCAGCCAACATTTGGATGATAAGATCCAGGTTCTGTAAGATTGCACTTTCTGACATAATGTTAGCGAGTTGCTATGCTTTCACAAATTACAAAACCCCTTTGTTTTGAAAAAGTCATATTTTGTATGTGTTCTGGGAAGTTTACTGTTGCTTTTCATCTGACTTACACATACCTCTTTGAGTTATTTCAGTAGAAGTCTTCAGGTGGGCTGGAGAGGTGGCTCAGCAATTCAGAGCACTGGCTGTTCTTCCAAAGGGCCAGGGTTCAATTCCCAGCACCGACATGGCCACTCACAACTGTCTGTAACTCCAAGATCTGATGCCCTCACACAGACATACATGCAGGCAAAACACCAATGCACATAAAAAACAAAAATTATTAAAAAAAGAATTCAGATGAGGTGTGATGGGGAGATGTTGTTACTTCCTGGCCTTCGCTGTCTATCATTAAGGACTGTGGGGTGAGCCCTTTACTGTGGCATGGAGAGCCCGCTGTTCTCTTGGACACTTCTCAGGCACTTTCCATGCACATAAGAAAGAAGAGGGCGTATAGATGGACTGCATATATTCTCAAGGTAAAACTGTGTAGCTTGTGGCGTAGAGAACTGGTTCTCTAGGGGATTCAAACAAGTGAGTAATGAAGCTGACACTTATTTGCTGAGTTCCAGATTTATTGATTCGGGAAGTGGAGATTACTTTAGGTATGTTGATTAGGAGGTGGTTTAAATATGAGGAATTAAGTATTTGGAAAATCTGGAGTGTGGAGGCTGCCATTGGACTGTTGACTTGAAGGTCAAATGATCACAGTGTTGAATGGAGACGCCACTTGTGAGGCAAAGGCTGCTTTGTGGCCATGTCCGTGGCTGCATCTGCCACCATAGACTCCCTCTGTGAATGTATGGGGCGTGACAGTGAATACGAATCTCTTAGGAAATTCCATGTCTGCTGGAATTTTCCTTTTGGCTCCCACAATTCCTGGGAGATGCCTTGTAGTTTCCTCCTGGCCTCTAGGTTGCAAGTGAGCTCATCTCACTGGCTTGGGCTGAATTGGATTTAGAATGGTCACTGCAGGGGAGCTGGAGAGACTGGCTGCAGGCAGAGCTAAGTGAAGGAAGACAACCTGATTTTTTTATTTTTTCTTGTCAAACTGCAGTTTTATATCCTTAAACCAATCCTTTCCCCATTGTTAAAAGACCCACATTGAAGCCTAATAGGCACAATTCTGCTCTCTGTTCCCATAAGTTCATCATTTCTAGGTTACACATAAAATTGAAATTGTGTGACATTTGTCTTCCAGTGAAAACAGCCTGATTTAATACCCAGAGCACAGATGATAATACAGAGACGATCAGTAGGGGTGTGAGAGGGTTGGAACCAGATACCCCAAGATCTACTGCTCAGCATATGTGCAACTCAGAGTAACTTGCTTACATTTTCCAAGATTTATTTTTATCATCTACAACATGGACAGTGCAGTATACTGTAAGGAGTCAGTGAGCCAGTCCTTGGTGATGATGATGATGATGATGGTGTGTGTGTGTGTGTGTGTGTGTGTGTGTGTGTGTGTGTGTGTGTGTGTGTGCTGGTTAGGGGTTTTTTCCTGTCACTTGAATACAATCGTGGGTCATCTGGGAATTGGGACCCTCACCTGAAAAAACACCACCAGTTAGCATGACTTCAGTGGACAATCAATCATTAGCATGGCCTCAGTGGACAGTCAGTTAACATTGCCTCATTGGTCTTGAACAACTGACAATATGAATAGTAAGTTGACATTAGATACCAGAAAAAGCAAGCAGTAAGACCCTTCCTTCCTTCCTTCCTTCCTTCCTTCCTTCCTTCCTTCCTTCCTTCCTTTCTTTCTTTCTTTCTTTCTTTCTTTCTTTCTGTGTGTATGTCATGGATATATAAGTGCTTTTACAGGCCTCTTAGAACTGGAGTTACAGGCTGTTATGAACTATGAACTGCCCAATGTGGACCCTGGGAACTGAACTTGGGTCCTCTGCAAGAGCAGCAAATTTTCTTAACCATCGAGCCATCTTTCAAGCCTGTGCAACCTTAATTTATTGCTTCAGGCTTGTCATCATGGACCAGTGGGCTTAATTCTGAGGCTGCCCCTGACCATATCCTAGCAGCAGCATTCTGGTGTCAAATCCGTGACCACCACCTAGAATGAAAGGGTCTTTCTGAGTCTCCTGTTTAGGGACGAGAGAGCCTGTCCCAGGAGTCCTTCTAGTACCTTCTCTGAATCCTGGACACATTTTACCATTAAACCTGTGGGCTAAGACATCTGTGCCAATTAGTGTTTATTGTCAACTCGACACAAGCTAGAGTCATCCAGGAAGAAGGAACCTTAACTGAGGGATTGCCTCCATCAGACTGACCTGTGGACATGTTTGTGGGAAATTGTCTTGCCTATTCATTGACGGAGAAGAGCACAGTGCACTGTGGGTAACACCATTTCTGGGCAGGGCAGGTGGTCCTGGGTTATATTAGGAAGCCAGCTAAGCATATACCTGTGGAGGGAGCCAACAAGGGGCGTTCTTTCATGGTTTCTGTTTCAAGTTCCCTCAGGGATGACCTGGAGTGTATGCTGAATAAATCCTTTGCCCTTTAAGTTAAATGTGGTCAGTGTTTAATCACACCAGTAAGAGCCAGACTTGGAACGGTGCGTATCTTAAGAGACAGAACACTACTGGTAATAAGCCCCTGTGCCTTAGACTACTCCCACGAGTTTTTTAGCTTCCTTGTTTAATGGTCTTCTCCTATGTGGTTGCATTTCTGAAACACAAGAAATGCATGGGAGATAGCTCGGGCTGTTTTGGATCTGCTGTCTCCAATCCTTGTTGAGTGCAGCAACAGTTCATCTGTATGCGATAGTCTGCATTGGTGCCTTGTCACACATGGCTTTTTAATCAGCTGGTGGCGGACTTCTGGGCTCTTTGCAGTGCTGATGTCTGAAGGAAATGCGCTATCAGAAGCGGCGCTATGTTGGTCTTTGGATTCCACCAGTGGACTTAGAGGTTTGTTTTAGATTCATCGTCTTATTTCTTCCAGTTTAGATAAAGCTGAGTTCTGTTGAGGCAGGTAACGAGTTCCTGTTTGTTCATGTGTACCTGACAATGATGCTGGACTGGGGAGGTGGCTAAGTGGTTAGCGCACTTGCTGCCCAAATGTGAGAGGCAGGTGTTTGGATGTCTATAACCTATGTAAAAGCTGCAGGGCATGGCAGGTGGCCCATAATTCCGGCATCAAAAGACAGAAATGTCGAGTCTCTAGAGCAAGCTGGCTAGCCAGGCTGGACACATAGACAAGCTGTGGTTTGGACTGACAAACCCTGCCTCAGTGAAAAGGTCAGACAGAGAGCAATGGAGATGATTCCAGACAACACCCCGGCCCCCTCGTGTAACTCCTTGTCCTCTGCCCCCATGGCGGCCGTGAGGAGGTTTGCTGCGTGTTGAAACAGTTGGATCTTAATTTTGAAACTCCAGTTAAGTATATGTTAAACCTTGTTAGTGTGCCTGTTGGTAACATGT